CCCTCCCTCCCTAATCATCGAAATTGAGGCTATCAAAGGTACTGATCACGGAAAAGCACGTGACTTCTTCCGGTTTCGCTATGGGTTTCTAAGCATAAAGAAAGCGCATGGTAACAATAAGATTACTCAAAATATGATCTATCTCGACTAAAAAAGGAACAGCTTAAGAGTCTGGCCATGGGTGAGGAGACGGGTTCTAATGGTGAGGAGAGCAAATTGTTGTTTTCTTCCAGCTCTTTTTTGCCGCCCACGATTGTAAATTGGTTAAAAGCTATGCAAGAACACAATTTGGACCCTGACGTGGTGTTGCCAGCCCACGTCACCTTCTTTTTCATGTGTCCCTTACCTGACAATACTCCAGATCGAGTTGTACTTGTGATTCAAGTGTCTGAACATAGTGCAGTATCATTGGGAATGTAAGCAGGCAGCTTGTCAATGCAACCGTCGAGAAGACGACGGCGGCAAACGCGACCGGACGGAGCGAAGGTCGCTCTTCCTTTTCTGACATTCACCTGAAAATCAAATGAAATTATAGGATGTAAACTTGATGAGGCAAAGGGTTTATGCGCCAACCGATTGAACGAGTCCACGGAAAAATTCGGTCATAAAAAAGCACCTAACAGCTTAACTATTAGGAATTCAATGTTGTATAAGCTAGCGTTCACTGAATGAGGATGCCACACTAGGTAATATTCAGAAGAAAGGCTAACCTAAGAAAAGTCGCATAGTCGAGCTTAAACAAACATCTTGGCATTCTAAGCTGAGGCCTGTGATGCCGTCTGATTGAGCATTCTTAACTTCTAGGCACTGACGGAGGCGGCGAAGAAGAACAGTCAGCAGAAAAAGTTGCCAAATCTTGGTCAAGGCTCCACAACCGGATTTCAAACATAGGCATTGTCATCCTACATTTCTTTATCTCTCCCAAATCCGTGCTTTCTTCCCAGAGAGGTTGGAAACAAAAACTTTTTATCCATAATTCCCTCTAGGTTCAGGTCGACCTCAAACAAAATGTCATCCGTTCTCAGACGAATAGACATGGTTCGGATCGAGCAGTTCACGGTTTTTTGGTTGGGCTTCATGGATCTTTTGAAGAAAGGGAGATATGAAGGTAGGGGGAGGGGAGAGAATTTAATGATAATCTGTTGCCTTATACGAGTTGCGGGAGGAACATTGATACTTCTCCTATACTGGAGTGGTTTCAGTGCCGATCAGCGTTGTGACTATCTCGGAACAATTGGTCTTAATGATATCTTTCCCCTCTTACCTAGTTTCGAGGTATAGGCCCAGGAAAGACTCATGTTCTATCCGTTTTTCCATGCTCGAAAGGACATCCACGGAATAAAATCCGAATGACAATTAAAATTCGGTACTTCCAATAGGAACGATGATGGTTGGCGAACCAGTTAATGTCCCTTTCTTCATAGTGACTAAACTTGTACTGAATCTGATCAGATTGTTGAAACCAATTGTCGACTAAAAGTCAATCAAGCTCTCTGCACCCTACAGTCAAAGTTTAGTGGCTAATGGGTTTTTAAGTGCAATACTCTAATTACATTAATGAGTAGAGGGTGACCTATTCAGTACCTACTTTCATTGAATTCGTACTTGTGTTCTCACCGGAGGTTAAAAAATACAAATCGAAGGTAAACGAAGGATGCATGGTGTATTGGCAGCAGTGTAGGCGGGGGAGATAGAAGTTCGGGTTCGAGAACCGTTTGTAGCCTAATCAGCGTCTTTGTGACATCCTCCATTAATTTAGCAGTGTTCCTTGGGTTTCAAAAATTGGGTGATGAGTATCTGTGTAAACAAAAAGTAAAAGAGAGGAAATGATTCAATTCATCAGAAGTTCTCATTGATCCTTTGTCTTTTCTTTGAAGGAATTACAGGTTATAAAGTTTTAACATTAAACCAATTTGGGCTGATTTGGCAGGAGAAGTTGGAAAGTACTCAGCAAAAAGGCTGTTGTCGATGAAAGAACATGGTAGTTGGTGTAAAAGGCAGGTGCACGTTGTTCTGAATAGGAGACAGACGAGTTGAACAGTTGGAGCGTCGTCACGGCGATGGCCTCTAGAGCCTCTTATATCCAGCTCGAACTGGTCTCTGTCGCGTTCCACCATCTCGTCCATGTCTCAAGGCTGCGCACTCTACCAATTGCCCCTTCCATTCGTCATTCCATGTCGGCAATCTCCCCCATGTATGCGATCTTACCACATCATCGAACTACGCTAAAGTGGAGGAAGCAGCGTTGACGACGTAGGCTTTTTACGGGGCACACCATCGCCTCACGAAAAACATGAAGATGCTGAAGGAGAAACGAGCTAGCTGCTGTGTCGACTGCAATTCGAGTTATACATGCAATACACTGAAGGGGTTAACGACATTGGTGCTAATGGAGAATGTCCTGACAACTGGGAAAGGGAAAGACCTGAACTTCAACGTAGTGCCACTACAGACAAAGATAACTGATTAAGGCCTGTGACCAGTAAAAATGCATACCTTTTTGCTAGCGTTTTTCTCAGTTTAGGTTAGTCTCAGAAAGGGTTAGGAGGGAGCTACTCGGAAAACTTCCCTTAGATGCGAACCTCCCTGTAATTCATGGAATTTGGCTGCAGACGACAACCCTGCACAGCAGGATCATTCCTACCTCAAGATTCACAGGTATCGCCACCAGGTGAAAGATATTTCTAGACCTTTCGGGTAAAGGCTATAATCTTCCTCTGGAGGCTTATCGATGCCTGTAGACTCACAGGGTCAGAGAGTCTGAGCTCATACCTTTCATGACTCCTAACTACCTTACTACTTGCATATCCCTTCTGCCCAAAGTCGGGAAATTGTTTTATGAAAGCCTTAACAATTTCACTAGGTTCCCTGAGCTTAGCCGCTCTAACTTACGAATTGCTTTCCCCGCATTGAACCGAGGCTGCTGGAACCACGTAGGTGAAACTAGCAATTGTGCTAGAAGCAATCTATAGGAATTGGTTCATGACAAACCACCATTCATACGTCCTTCGTAAAAACTCCCACTACGGACAGGATCACTCCCAAACATGCCTGGACTTTCATCNACTGAGGAATGAGAAATCGATTCTGGCTGGAGGACATAAAGCCAGCCACCGAATTGGAGCGTTGGTCGTTTCTGCGCAACTCTGGGTTCAGTTCTGATTCCCATCCCTCATCGAGACAATTCCATGGAGCTTCTTCATAGGAAACCGATTGCTCTATAAAAATATGAAAAACGTTCTACACAAAAAAGGATTCCAATTGCTGATGTCATGGTCGGAGCAGGATAACTATTCCGGCTTTTTCTGCTCATTTCTTCACTTTTTTCCTTCTCCATTATTTTCGTCATTGAACTCCTCTAGTTCCTCGATATAAAAAACCTCCCGATCTGATAATTCAGTTTAGTCCATGAATACCGTCAAGCGCTTTCGACTTTGCTTTCTTGTATTCCCTGAAAATCAGCTTCTGGTATACGCGTGCCAGCTGTTCGGGTTGGTAAGGTACTGTGGTGTTTTCTTTTACAATATCAAACGCTCAAAATCTGAGACCCGGTAATTGTTGCCTTTCCGACTTTCGTCTTTACCTCTGTGCAACCACTACCTGAGCAATAAACCAGAAGAAAATGTCTTTCACTCCTTCCTATTAATGGTCGGACGTTGGAATTACAGAAGAAAAGCAGATCTGGTTTCCGTAGAACGTTTTTGGCTTTACTGATTCATCCCCTTGAAAAGGAATTTACGAGCCCCTTCGAAAGGGGGCTGTGTATCCTTTATTGCTTTTTTTTACAAATGACTTTGGCTAAATCGGAAACAAAAGTTCCAGTAATGGTTCTAATGTCTTTCACCGAAACTTTTACTCATTTCCAATCCAGTTTTCCGCTTACTGTACCAGAAACTCAAGTGTAACATCGTCCGCTTCCAATTACACTTTAGTGGGCACCGGTAATTAGTTCGAAAAGTGATTTTGTAGCCAAGTTTTAACTTTATTACAAATATTAATAATTTCTCAAAATAGAGGTTGACTCATGTTTGTACACAGTTTTTTTCACATCCGAGTTCTATATTTACTACATATTTATTGAGACAGCTAGCGCAGGGGTGGCGTTGCGCCAAGGGAGCACCGTCATACATGTTTGGTCACGGGTTCGAATCCCGTATCGATTCCCTCTAGGCGAACCAAGCCTTCCATCCCCTGAGGTAGATTAAACGGTATCAGACTCGTCAGGGAGGAAAAAAGCACTGACTCTTACATTGGCTGGCCACCGCAAGTCATTGTATAGGCCAAATACGCATTCAATACGCCACTACGATTATGAATGGAAATCGGCTGGCATCGGGCGCATCCCTCTGACGGCATTGACAAACGCCCGGAGAATTTATCTTTTTCATCTTTTATTCAGACAGCTGTTATGGCATGGTTTGTTGGTTCGATAGATTTTATAGTGTCGTTCTTATCAAGGGCCTTTGCAAATATGGAAAACGTGAGATTCGTTTTCGACAAATTTTCCTTTTCAACTACCAAAAAATGTAAAAGATCCATCTAGACTGAGAAAAAGTTCACGAATGTGTATGGTGTATTTGTTTTGTCAAAATGATGGGTCCAAAAAAGGCTTGCGAAATGTCATTACAGCAGAAGCGATGCATGACGACGACATTCTGGAACTTCGATTCAAGAGGACGAGTAAATAAAGACATCAATTGCTAAAAGTTGACCAGGGACAGCTTGTGAGAATATTGAATTAATAAATATTTAATATGCTAGAGCAATTTTGTATAAAGAACAAAGGAACTTTTTCTGTGCTACTTACTTTCGTTTGAAATTTCGTTTCGGAATAGATGCGAAGGCTCAGGATTGCTTTTGTTTGGTGATCAAAGAGGTTCGATACATCTACTTGGAGTTTCCTAATCCTGATTCCTCTTTTCACTGGGTGTTTTATTAGGTGCTGTTTTTTTTGCAGTAGACGCCGAGGTGATGAAATTTTCGGTTCAACATTCTCACAAAACTTCATAAAAGTGTCATAAAACGAGATGAGTTAAAGTCATCAGAAACAAGCTGTACCGTTTCCATGGCTATTCAAAAAAAGGGTCCTTGAGAGTGGTTCAGAAGGAGGGTCATAGGGCTTGAATGCTTCCAGCGTTTTTTCTATGAAAGTAGTTCAGCTGCGATGTACCGGTTTGCGACAAGGTGAACTGCATACTGCATGAAGAAAAGGCTTGAAAACTCACCTATAAGCGTGTTATAGAGAAGGAACGAGAACGTACAGGGAATCCTTAAAATATTAAGAAAGGCCGGGTGGGGGCATCAGGATACTTGGATGTTATGCAGGGGTACTGGTGAAAAGCGCGACTTATTTTTTGAATCCATTTTTTATCGCAAAGTCTGGCCTTCCACAGAAGCCCTACATTACATTAGATAATCTTTCCAAACGATTAGGGTAATCCGATAAGAAACCAGAACCTCCACCGGCGCTTGATTGACTTCTCAGTCGCTCTAACAGGGACTGTCTAT